TTCCCTAATAAATCTAACAAAGGGTTTAGAAACAGATGAAGCCATGTAACCAGGATTCCAGGATCCCATGACTCAACGAAGGGGCCGCATATATGTACACGAATGAAACTGAGATACGATTTTCAGCAAAAAAGATCTCTTCGGTGGATCCTGGGGGGGGGTGTGAGCATATATATTTATATATATTTCTATATACACATATATATAGTATATTACATAATATTACAATATACTATAATATGTTATAGTAGACTATAAGAGTTATCATAATATATATATACCTATACACACACACACTCTCTAATATAGGGTTTCCAATCTGAGTCCCCAAAGCTCAGCTTCTCGGAGCACCGACACCCCTGCAAAATTCTGAGTGTGATACTGATATCAGAACCTGAATTCCAGCTAGCTTATGCCCACATCAGCTATAGCCCAGGAATGCACGCTATTCCTGAAATCTAGAATGAAGCTTGCCCTCTCCTTGAGGATGTAGTCAGTCAGTTGCGTCTTGCTTTGCCCTCTTCGCGGTGCTGCAGCTTTGGCAGACCTGTTGGATCAATTGCATGCTCCTCTGTCACTCGGACCGCAAACAACATTCACAGGGAACCACAGATCCGTATGGAAAAAGCACAGAATGCCTGTGCAACATCCCTGCATCCAGATTTCGAACGCCCTCTTAATGCTCTCGTAACAACACCGCTTTTTTGGTAGACTTGGGAAGCTTCCAGTCGAAGGCACAGCCATGCAATCTCGGAAGGTGAATTCATCAGAGATTTCACAGACTCTCTTCCATCGCATATTACGGCCTACGAACTACGAAACAACCAAACTCCCTTGCTTTCCTGCCATCTAAACCCTAAACCCTAAACCGTGTATACAACACACAGCAGGTAGCGTCCCGGCCTCTGCTTTGCAGGGGTCTCCTCCATGAAAACTGCCAGCCGTGAGGTTGGCGCTTCTACGCCGCCTCGAGATCCAAAGACATGTGAGCCATAATCTAAACTCCTTAAAGGTGGTTATATAGGGGATTATATAGGGGACTATTATAGGGGCTACTAAGGGGGATACTAGGAGTTTAGACAGTAGCTCATGTGCAGCTGGGGGAGGGGCTTAGACTTGTTTCAAGGGGTTTAGGGGTTTCCGGATGGTGAGAGAGACGCCTGGCATTTTGCTACTTGCTGTGGGGCCCCCACCTATGCCAATCCAAAAGTGATGGACAACTTCTACGGGCCAGCTCCAAACTAGCATGCTTTTGCATGCTGCTTACTGGCGGCCAAGTCACACGCAAACACATACTTCGGGACACCCGCAACGCGAGAGTCATGGCTGCGGAATCTGGAGCAAGACCTCTGGGAGCCATGAAACGGCCACGAGTTCTCCAGCAAGTGGACATGCAACCTGCCGAACTTTCGCACTCACCTGTCCCACATGTCAGGCACTTTCCCACATCTGAAGTGAATCTAAAGCTGCCACCACCTTATTGTAGCTACGGCTAGAACTGTCAACTGCTGATCTGACTGCCTCTGCTTGGATATGTCAGAAAGCAATTATAAATCATACTATCGTAAACAGCGGCACAAGCACCATGTGTCAAATGAGAGCAGGTTCTTTAATGCGAGGCATCTGCAGGCGGGCTTTTCGATAGTAGACCGGCCATCAAGACCCATTGACAATGGCGTGGGCTGTCTAAAGGAAATGAAGCTGCAACACAAGCAACATATGGCAGGCCAGTTGCTGGACTCCCCTAGCCAAGTGTGACTTCCTACTGAGCACATTCTGCGCGTTGTCCTTTCAGGCAATTCTTTCAAGCAATGCCCGCCTTGCTTCCCTCTGTTCCCCCGGCCAGGGTTTCATAGCTTGATGCGTTCAGCTTAAGGGGGGTCTATGGGCACTTGTACTGAAGATGCTAGCAGCGACTACTACTACCATCTTAGGTGTAGACCTGCACTCAGTTTAAGTGGATAAGTAGATTCTATTCCAGAATGATGTGCTGGCCATGACCTGTACACACTGGAAACAATCCGTGGAAGTATGTTACAGACGAACGAACTAAGAAACCCATGGTCATTGATGATCCGACTATGAACCACGACCGCTAACTGCTTACTTTTACTGTACCTACTGCTGTTGAGCTGCCGCCTTCTTGGTTGCTTCGTTCTGGAGGAACATGGTCAGAACATTGATGATCTCTATCTCCTCGTCCCCCTCATCCATTGCAGGAAGAACTGAGAACACTCGGGAAAATCTGCCATTCGGCCGACAAGGATGTCAGGGCTACCTAACTGGAACATCTTTACACTTGTCGTTACTTCAAGCATGGCATGAATTCTCTGTTTTGAGCAGTTCTCACCCCTGCCTCCACTGCCACTTGCATGTTTTCCACTGCCAGCCCAACCAACGTCTCCTGAGCACAGAGCCAAGCTTATCAGGTACGGAACGTAAGGAGGGTCCAGCATTTCAAGGATGCGGACACGAAGCAAACACCTTGCGAGCACCATAGTACGAGTAGCTTTCAAAGCTCTGTTGGGGTCCCATGTTGAGTCTTGCTGTATACTCACCCACACCGACAACGGCGAGGACGGCCTAAGCAAAGAACAACGAAATAAGGAGAAAGCCATCAAATTCCAAGCTTCGAATCGAGCATGCCCAGCTAGGCGTGGCAAAACCGCTGGCTTACACGGGGAAGCCAGATGAAAGGCAGCATACATTGCAGCACCTGGGATGGTATGGATGGGAGGTCAATTCCACGAGCTATGGGGAAGGATCCAGAAAAAATGCGGTACCCTTACAAAGGCATTACGGCAGTCTGCTGAGGCTGGGCATGTGTTTGCTAAAACTTCCTCATCCAGAGGAGAAAATACAGCAGCAAACAGAACACTGCGCCTAGCGTCAGACATTAGCTTTCAACCACAACTCTTTCACACGCAGCTCCCTCCGGATGCAAATGCAGGGATGCGCCGTTCGCGCTTTATGCTTACGTAGTGCAGTCTGCAGCATAAGCCATTTGGCAACGCTGTGTTCCTGTCGCTGGCGGTGTCGGAGTTGCAGTACCAACAGGCACCCCTATACCTGTATGTCTGAGCAACAAAACACGCCAGCGCTCAGACAGTCACCACCCAAATAGGCCAACCTGCAAAACTGTCCTGGGATCAAGCCTGATTATAGTTGGACTGCACACCTTTCGTGTCTACGTGGTGTAAAGAGGGCAGTCTTTGTTTCAGTAGCCCTGTTTCTGGAGATGCAGAAAAGGAGCGGATCTTGGCATGATCGCGCTTGCTTGTCACAAGGCTGGCCACCAAGTTGGACATCAAGTGCTCCAACAAGCATTCCTGCGGTCTAGCTCTCACTCGGCGGGGCAAACAAAGAAGGCAATCAAGTGTTGAAGGTGTATCAGGACAGTGAATACGTAGCCTACAACCTTGTACCAAACAGGTGCGCCGAGCGACGCGGCCTGCTGAAAGGCAGCCCCGGCCCCCAGTCAGAGCGGCATCCCCCAACATCTTGCTAAAGCTTGTGCCCCCAACTTCGAGCCCCGACAATGCCTATACCCCAGTCCTCCCACGCCTCATCCCCCACTCCCCCTCACGCACGGGCCTGCGCAAGGAGAACCTCACGGAAGGTGGCATCCCTAATCTGCAAAGTGTCACCAATGGCCTGCCTTGGCTTTCAAGGCTTGGGATGCGCCAGGTCATGGCTGGGGCACTTTGTGGAAAGAGGGCAGATGCGTTTGGTAATTCTTCCATGAACTCCCGTGTAGCTGTAGCTTCTATGGGGCTGGGAGATCATCGAGGTTTGAAGATCAAGTCATTTCAATCCTAAAGATTTGGTTCTGACGTGTGCTTGTTTGCTCCTGCTTCATTTAACTAACCTGCAATACAGAAAAAGCTTGAGCTCAACAACGGGCGGCAGCACCTAAGTGCAATGCTGAAACCTCCAGGGCTTGAGGCCAGCATGAGAATGAAACGAATGGGTGTTCCTCTTGACTTTAGGCATGCGGGGTGTATAGGGCTTCCGCTCTAGCTTCCAGAAGAGCGAAATGAAACACATAAGCGACACCTTCACATTTTGCCCGGGCAAAGGGTGCCTGCTCCTCACTGTAAAGCGTCGCCACATTCTTGGCACACAAGTGTCGAGTGCTGCTCAGGAGCATTGAGAGGGTACTCTCCGCAGGCTCCAGGAGCTGGCAAATGAGGAGTTTCAGCCACTTCTTGGCGAACTCTCTCCTGCTTGCTGCAGTGGTTGATAGGGAATGAGGAAATGGAACGATGAAGGGAAAGCATCATGTATTCTATTGAGAATTGTACAAGGGCTTCCAAAGGGATCCCTTCTTGTAGAAGATGCAGGGAGTGGCATGCCTGGTGAGGACGAGGCCGGGATGTCTTTGGCTTGTCAGTGCTTCATGCGCTTCCCATCGTACCACCAGCTAGTAGCTGGTGTACATGCCCAATCTACAACACTGTGAACGCGGTGAATCTCAGGTTCACAGCTCACACGTGGGTGGCATCTCATAATGAATACTGTGGCAAGAAGGCTTTATAACCAGGGCTGCCTTAGCCTTAACCGTCTGTTATCGCAGTCTTCCAGAATCCTCCCCCGGCGCCCTGATGATGTAGGTCCTGCTGGCTCCCTGTGCATCCCACATGAGGTCGTCCACCGGGTTGGTAAGGAACAAGTCCTGTGCCAACGATTCTGCCCAGTGTGCTCCAAGATACCCCCGTTACTGGAAAAGTCCCCGTGAACCGACAAATGGTTGAAGGCAGCCAAGGACGTTCTTATCTAGGTTCTATAAACAATGCCGCTATGAATTGCACTTCTGAGCTTTGGTGGCCAACTGTACAGCGTCTTCATATTAACAACATCTCGTGATTAGGCTGCCATCACCTCTGCAAGGAACCACAGAAAAAGCTTGGCTGCCATGCGTCAATGGTCTCAATCTTCTGCAGATTGCCGAAGGGCTCAGGCCATGAATCCTAGGCTCGCCTACATTATTATCCCCCTACAATGGAGAATCAAATGGAAAAGAAAATGGAAAATGAAATGGAAACTGGGATTATCGGGTAGTTTATAGGGGATAGGAGCTATAGTCCAAACCCATAGAATCCCCCTTAATAAGCCCTGTAATAATACTCCCGATATAATCCCCTATACACCCCCCCCCCTGTAAGGAGATTGGACTGTAGCTCATTTCCGTGTTTGGGGTTCCCATTAAAGCCCTAAGATACAACGTAGGGAAACTTCAAGAATTAGAAGCTGGAAGCTGCTGTAGTATAATGAGGTATATATTGGGGCGATTAGTACTATTGTTACCAATATAATTTCATAATGTGTATAGTAGAATGAAGTGTCTATTGGGGCTATTAGTACTATAAAGCCAGTAGTTTCATCATACTAGTCCATAACTCGGGTCTCAGGAGCTGACAATTCAAGTCAATTCCCAAGTCAATAGTCGCGGGCGGTTCTTCAAAGGTTGGCTACCTTTTGGGGTTTCTTCCATCTGCCGCTGCAAAATCCTATAATAATCCCCAAGGACCCCACCTTCACAAAGAGGAGCCCTTCCTCAAGAGTTCTCCACACCTTACTGCATGAAGATGTCTGGATCACTTTCTTTGTGCTAATCATCATCGCAATAAATGGTAAGTAAGACTCAATGCATTGGTGTAACAATCAATAGCAGTAGTGATGTCTGACGCATTTTAAGAGAGCGGGGTGTTAAGAGCGAGCCTTATCTTGGAGTAATGGCCATGTGTCGAGGAGGTGCAGCATGAACTCGTCCCCACCGTCGGTGTTGATGATGGCGTTGCAGAAGCCAACTCTGTCCTACTCGTCGTACACAATTTGTTTAGGTTGGGCCTTTTTCTAGGAGCTTCACAAGAGCATTCGCGCCTAGTGCAGAGAGGGTCTTTGGGACATATGTCAAAGCTACAGAGCG